CTGTGTGTGCTAGCACATGCCTGTAGTCCCAGCTACTCAGGAGGCTGAAAGCAGGAGACTCGCTTGAACCCAGGAGGCATAAGTTGCAGTGAGCTGAGATCGCACCACTGCACTCCAGCCTGGGCAACAGAGTGAGTCTCTGTCTCAAAAAAAATGTACCATCTCTAAGCCCAAACACCTTTGCTAAGTTCCGGACAACATACCCAACTTCTCATTTGATATTTCCTCTTAGATATCTCATCTAAACATGACTGGAACTACAGGATGTCCTCCAAACACCTCAAAAAGAAAAAAATCTGTTCCTTCCCTATGTTCACAAATAGTACTTTTACCCAAGAGATACATAAGTAAGTCATTCCTAACACTTCCTATGACCACCACAGGGTCTTCCCATTTAAGCATTATCATCTTCACCCCACTGTCACCATTTTAACCATTCTATTTGTATATCATTTGTAAAAATACAATCAGAGCATGTCACTGCCCCAACTCAAATCTTTCAATAGCTTCCCATTGCATTTCAGATAAAACCTAAACTCTTCAACATGGTATACTAAACCCTGGACCCTGGTCACCTTGCCAACATCATCTTGGATCTCTCTCACATGTGTTTCATTCATTGTAGTCCACAGCTCTGAGCATATTTCAGTTTCTGAAACTTCCTTCCCTCACAAAGAGACTTCAGTTTTCATGACACACTTCAAATCACCCTGACCTTCACACCAGTTTTTAACTAACTTATTTCATCCTTCAGGCTTCTGCTAAAAGATCAAAAAAGCCTTCCTTGACCCCGCAATCTAAACTGCATTCTCTCATAAAACCCTGAGCATTGTCTTCAGGACACCTATAAAAAAATTTTAACTATAGTAACTTGGTGATTTTCTTTTGCTTGTTTCGCATTTATCTTCCACACTAATCTGTAACTTACATAGGCCAGAAAAATATCTCCATTATTGTTCTCTACTATGTTAAGCAGCACCTAGCAGTGCTTAGCACACAAAGGCATTTAATGAAGTTATATAGTAGTAACAGTTGTTGATATTTGTATTCAATCCTCCCCCTCTTTCTATGCTCTCTGTTTTTTCTTAGGAATGAAGTTACTGGGCAGCCACAGATGATTTCTACAAATGAGATATAGCACTTAACTATTATCATTTTCCTGCTAATTCATAGTACAAAATCAGAGATGTATAGTACAACCTTCCCGGCTAACACTTAGCTTAAATTCATTCACCCTTATCTAAGCATTTAACTCTAAGAGAAATACTGAGTTATTTTTAAAGAACCCTGTAGTAACTTCCTGGCCTCCAATTACTAACAAGCCAATAACTCCCAACACCCATCTCAGTAAATCTTAACCACATCACCATATTCACACTATCATTCCTATCCAGCCCCATAAACTTCATGATTACATTATCTCAACAACTTATCTCTGCTCTCCTATGCTCAACACCCCATTTTAGGTCCATTTTGTACCAAGGGCACCTAGGGAAAAAAATGTCCCCTACTCGAAAACCAACTTCTGATTATCAATTGACATTAAATTCCTCAGATTAGCACCAAAGGCTTGTTATGGTGATGCATGTGATCAACAAGCCAATCCTAGGTTTTAGTAAAAACTTGGGAAGTTACCCTGAATTAGTTACATGAGCCTGACAATTTGTCACTGTTTCAAGCTAAAAACTGACATATGGCTTTCCCTCATTTCTACAGACCAAAGTTGGGAACTGCTTAGCACAGACTCCTAACACTAAACAGTTTTTGAGAAAAGAACTGAACTGCCTCACTGTGGTATCAGTCCTTTAAACTTTGAGGAGGAACTAAAAAGGTGCAAGTTGTATTTTCAAACATTTATGTGCTTGACTACAAAGACATTATGATACAATGTATATGTTTCACAGAGAAAACTACTTTTAACAGTTTAAACATACAACCTACCCCTGAGAAACTGCTTTTTAAATTATAGACATAATATGTGCATATACATATATAACAATGGTTGATCCTCATTATTTGGGGATACTATATTTGCAAATTCATCTACTCATTAATATTTGTACCCAAAAATCATTACTCATGACACTTTCACTGTCATTTGCTGACATGTGCACATTGGTGAAAAATTTGAGTCTACTGACATCCACATTCTTGTTTCAGCTTACATACTGTAAACAAATGTCCTTTTCATGGTCTATTTAGTGCCATGTTTTTCTCATTTTTGTGCTTGCAATTGGTGATTTCACTGTTGAAAACAGTCCCCAAGCACAGTGCTAAAGTGCTGTCTAGTGTTCAAGGAGAAAAGACTACAGAGAAAATAACAAGTGTTAGATAACCCTCATTGAGGCATGAGTTGTAGAGCTGTTGGCCACGATTTCAATGTTAATAAATCAACCAAATATATTAAGTAAGGTGTGTTTAAACTGCAATACACGCAAAACAAGGTTGTATGTTAATGAGCTGACAAAAATGTTGAGAACAGAGGCTCTCGGGAACCTAACACTGTAGCAGGAGCAACAGTTCGGGATTTACTAATTCAGTTTTCACAGTGACTTTCTGGAACATAACTAATTATATACAAATAACAAGAGAGAGAGACACGGACTGACTTATTGAAAAGACACTGCAGAGGTCATTATGAGTAAGCTGCCAATGTTTGTAGGAGCATGGCAAAAACACTTCAGGGCACAGAATCTATTGGGTCTTCCTGGCTCTGTTTAAACAACTTAAGGCCAAAGCAAAAAATGCAAAATCTACCAAGTTTGTGTTTCAGTTTGTCTTAGCTTCTACCACTTTTCCTACTCAATGGTAAGCCTCTCCCCAAATCAAGTACTCTAAACTTTAATGCATTTTCACAAGCATTCGGCCCAATCTTACAATCAAGCACACCCATCAACTATTGATTAATCACACTTAAATGTGAACTAGACTTGTGCTTAAACATCTTGGCTAAATTGTGGCATTATTTATTTGGAAGGGAGAGGGGATATTAAGCATCTGAAGTAAGAACAGACCAGACAGGATCAAAAAGTAAACTGATTATACACAGACAATTCCAGTTGTGTGTGTGCTAGAGAGAGAAAAAAAATACACAAGGGAAGAAAACCTAGGCCTTGGCCTCCCCTCCAGGATATTAAAGCTAGGGTATAGGATGGAGAAGTCCCATCATCCAAAAGGATTTCTTCAGCCCTGGCATCCTCCTAGCACTTGATTATTGATTTTTCAAGAGAAATGATGAATTTATGGTAAAATTCAATATGGAACTCTAACAGTGACATTAGCGCTTGAAATAAATTTTCATTCTTTGTTGCGGTTGAATGAACTCTCCTTTTGAAATTCATCTTTTTTTATTTTCCAAAGTTTTTTTTTATTGAAAATTATTTGCTTAGGGTAGTGATAGGATATGCTTAGGGTAGTGAGTGATACAAGTTACAAATTCAAAATCTAGTTTGTGAAATGTCAATATATGTATTTTTTTTCTATTAAAAAGACCCATCTGGGATTTAGTGGAATGAAGTGAGCGTAACACTACCCAAGCTACACTTCAATTAGTTACTAAAACAATTCAAAGACAAAATATGGCATTTGACTTAATAGCCCTGTGTTCTTAATACCTAAAACATATTCTAAACCAACAATTGAAATTCATGTGTAATAAAGAGCTAGAAAACGTTATAGTATAGTAAATCTTTTAAAGACTACTCACTACATATTCATTCTTGTGAAAAACTAAGGATCCTCCTTCTCCCACCTCTCCAAGTTTAGGCTAAGATCATTATTCTGAGCAATGATTCACCTAACAACGATATGTACACCTGAATAATTCACAATTTCTTTCTCCTTCGAATATTTTATACAAAAATCTTCAGGTTTGTTTCTTGTGCTAATTTACTGTTGTTCACAGCATTTCAAAAAATACAAGTGGAACTTCAATCTACTGTTTTCAAACCACATCAACGTCTAACTCTCAGAGAACTGAATTCACTCTTCGATTTATTTTATCTTAACCATAGAACTTACAAGGGCCATTTATCAACAAAATGTATTTCTTAAAAAATTTTTAAGGTGTTTATTTTGTAATATCATTTTGCAATTAAAAACTCAAAGACCAATGAAGCATGCAGTACACAGGGAAAGTGTTTCCTACAAGGATATTAAAGCTGGGGTATAGGATGGAGAAGACAATTATACCAGAAACAAAACACTAAAGTCTAAGTTCTTCTTTTTATATGGAGTAAATTTTTTTTGTAAGTAGACTTCTACCTGCCGTCATAACCTGTTCCAGATCCTGAAGGACCGACCACAAAACTTCACAAGTGAAAATGAACCTGCTTTCATAACACCTTTTAAATCACTATCAAAGAGTCATATTGGGAGGGCATGAATTGCACCTTGTCCAACAGGGAAGATTCTAAATAACAAAGATAAATGGGCTTCAAATTTACCTGTTTCCCAGTGCAACCTACTAACTGAATTTAGAGCAAAGGATCACCTCCAACACGCACACATGCACACAAATACACTGTTTTTCAACAGATGACTGAGCTGCAGCAAACCCGGGCTCGACAACAGGGGTTTTAGGGTCCTATGCCCTGCAGCGCAGGTGGAGGCTCGGACGAAAAGGCCAACGCATGACACCCGTCTGAGCCACAGCTGGCAGAACAGAGCTTCAATCCTGCTCGATCTGACCCTCTAATGAGTCACTGTCCCAATCATACCACCACCCCACTTCCAGCGCGTCTTCTATTTTCTCGCGTCAAAACGGACAAAAAGATTTAAACTCGGCATGAGAGAACTGTGCACTGGCCAGAGCTGCCAGCGGCAAGAAAAGCCGGCTGAAAAGAGAAAGCCCGAGCCACTCTTTTAACAACCCCGCTGGCCCGGCAGCTGAGGAAGAACCGGGTACAAGAGTCAGTCCCGAGGGGGAGGACTCCGAGAAGCCGCCGCCACACCCCAGCCCTCCCTCACCTGCCTGTCCGAGCCTCCCCGGGCACCCGTACCTTCGGCCAGCGACTCTTCCAGGGTGACCTGGTAGCGGCCAACCGCGAACACCCGGACCCCTACGGACGAGCCGCCGGAGCCGCAGCCGGTCCCAGCGCCGCCAGCCCCGCCACCCGCCGCTCCGCCGCCGCTGCCGCCCTCCGACTTGGGCATCCGAGAGAACTTCTTCATGGTCCCGCCGGCGCGGGCAGCGCGCAAGGGCGAGCAAGAGCGCGAGTCCCCGGCCCCGGGCGCAGCCGAGCGTCCGCGAGGGGTCGCCGCCCCGAGCCCGTCCGAGCGTCCGAGCGCGCTGCGGCCCGCCAAGCCTCACATTCCGTGCTTCCCGAGCGCACAGCCCCGGCCCCCGTCGCCCGCTCCGCGGCTCCGCTGCAGCTGCCAGGCTCCCGCAGAGGGCGGCAGAGAGGGCGGAGACGGGACGGGACGGGGCGGGGCGGGGCGGGGAGCGAGGGGGCGGGTCCGAGTGCAGGGGCGACGCTGCCGCCTCCGCTAGTGCCCTGGGCGTCCCCGCCGCCTCAGCGCCTGAAGCGCGCGAGCCCGGGTGGAGGGAGGGAGCAAGGGAGACGGGGAAGGGGGCGGGGCGGACGGCCTCTCCAGGCAGGAGGCTGGACGTCTCAGGCCGCAAGCCGGCAGGTACCGCAGCCCGCCGCGCCGCCGCCGCCCCGGCCAGACCCGAGTCGCCCGCCACTCGCGGCCGTTGACGGGGCAGCGCTGCCACCAACCGCTCACTAAGGCTGGACGACTCGCGCAGGCGCGCTGCCCGCGCCGCCGGAAGTGACGGTTCCGCCTCTTGTCACGTGGAGGGGGACCACGGGAGGTGATTGTGGGGGTTGGGGACGAGGGCAAAGTCGGGGATCCTGGGTCCGGGGTTGTGCCGGGAGGGTACTAGCTAGGCTCGGCTTCGAGCTGGGAGATGGGACTGGCTTCTGCGCTAGTCCAGCGCCCTGGTCCGTCATCTCGCCTGAGAGTCGCTATGGCACTCTCGGGGCTTAAAAATGCCGCCAACAACTTTACCTCCGCTAAGGAACTTCTCTCTTCCTTTCTTAGCCAGTTGTTCAGGCCTTCTCCCCTGAGAACATTCTTCCGCTCGCCCACCCTGAGCGTGGGAGGTGGGAGCAGGACGGAACTAGAGTGGATTCCAGTAACTGGGCTTCTAAAGCCGAGTCGATGTCGTCGCGCACTGTAGCGGACGCTTGTGCTGGGAAGCGTTTTGCAGTTTATAAATTACTTAGGAGTACTTTAAACACCTCACGCCTGCTGTACAACAGCCATATGTGGGTATTCAGAGCAGGTATTAGGGCCGTTTCATAGACCATCACCTTTGGCTAAAAAAACGGAGTCTCCCAAGGTCACAGCTGGTACGTGGTAGTTAGGGACCATTATTTGATTCATAAATTTGTGCTTCTGGCCATCCTGAAAAAGTAGGTTAGGGTCAGATCGTCGAAACATGGGCAGATATAGAGCTGTTTGGAAGCAAAAGCAACCACCGTGTCCCCCTCTTGAAAAGATTTGCCCCCCCAACCAAAAATAAAAATAAAAAAGCCCCGTGCATCAATTTCATAAACCGCAGGAGTCTCCTGACTGCAGGGCGAAGCAGCGAAACAAATAACGGGTGTAAAACGTTCAGGATTGGTAGATAATAAACTGTAGGGCATGTGTAAAGAGAGCAGCCAGTTCTCAGCTCCAGCCTACTTTTCCACAAAAGAAGATAGCACACACACTGTGCCCAGAAGTTCCAGTTTCTTAAGAGAACCAAAAACCTGGAACTTTTTCTAATGTGGCATTTCCCAAATTTTTAAAAATATGGACCAAATAAATTGTGTCTGCAGGACTCCAGTGTGCACCTTCTTTGAAAGTAGTTGAATGTGATTCTATCCCCACCCCTATTTATTTATTGTTTTTAATGAGACAACTGGTAGAAACATTTAAAAATGTGCTTAGACAAAAACTTTGAGCTTAAAATCCTTGTTCTTTCTTCTCTGCTATTTGTGGAGAAGCTATTTCTGCCAACACTAAAACACTGTTCTGGATTTAGACATTTCTGCTGCATAACCCACTAAACTAAAATTCTTCATCCAGAGACCTGACCTTTAAAGTACATTCCAACTCAGTGGAAGTGAGATTATATGTCAGGTGATTGATGTGGTGTGGCAGTTGGGGATTTCCATTTAGAAACAGGCTGGCCACTTTCGTTGCTGTAGGCCTTCATTGTGGAGTCTCATTCCTACATTTGAATTGTTTTTATACGCAGAATAATAGATTAAGTCATTTCATGCAATTCAAAACTGGTGTCAGACAAACATACAAAATTTGTGCCTGATATAACTTCACCTGATCACAACAAGCCTGCTATAATAAATTTGAAAGTTAGTTTACGAGGATCACTTGAAACCAGGAGTTCAAAACCAGCCTGGTCAACATAACAAAACATGACAAGACCTCATCTCTCCAAAAAGAACATGAAAAATTTTAGCCATGCGGCCAGGCACGGTGGCTTACACCTGTAATCCTAGCACTTTGGAAGGCCAAGGCAGGTGGATTACGAGGTCAGGAGATTGAGACCATCCTGGCCAACATGGTGAAATGCTGTCTCTACTAAAAATACAAAAATTGGCTGGTGTGGTGGCATGTGCCTGTGGTCCCAGCTACTCAGTAGGCTGAAGCAGGAGGATCACTTGAACGAAGGAGTTCGAGGCTGCAGTATGCTATGATGGCACTGCTGTACTGCAGTGGGTGTAGTTTAAAAAAAAAAAAAAGTTTGATCTGTCGAAGTGGTTTAGGCCTATAATCCCAGTACTTGGGGAAGTCGAGGTGTGTGGATTGCTTGAGCTTAGGAGTTCAAGACCATCCTGGGCAACATAGTGGGACCACCTGCCCCCCCCCAGCATTTCTACCAAAAATACAAAAATTGGCTGGGCGTGGTGGGGTGGCACAGGCCTGTGGTCCTAGCTACTTGGGAGGCTGAGGTGGGAGGATCACTGGAGCCAGGGAAGTTGAGGCTGCAGTAAGCCATGATGGCACCAACTACACTTCAGCCTGGATGACAGAGGAAGACCCTGTCTATAAATAAATAAGTCGGTTTACAGTTGATGTGGTAAAGATTACTTCTATGGACCAGTTTAACTTGACTTTTGATATTAAAATGTATAATTATAATAAACATATAATTAAATGTGCAATAATGTATAGACCCCCTCTGAAAGACTAGGGTAACACCAAGTAATATGTTTTTTTATTTTTTTCACCAAGCATATGACAAAATTTGGATATCCTCCCAACTTCATAGATCATTAATGTCACAATATTCTGTAACAGCCAATAACAAGCATATAACTTAAAAATACAAAGACTACTAAAAATCAAAACATTAGCAAGGGGTGATAGTGCACCACCTATGGTCCCAGCTACTCTGCAGGCTTAGGCAGGAGGATCATTTGAGCTCAGGAAGTTGAGACTGCAGTGAGCTGTGATCACACCACTGCACGCCAGCACTCAAGCCTGGGCGACAAAGCAAGACCCTGTCTCGAAAAAAAAAAAAAAAAAGCAAAAATATTGTAGAGTTGTCTGCCCTATCGCCCTTATCCAGGAAAGATACATTCCAAGACTCCCAGGGGACACGAAAGTGAGGATAGTAACCAGGGGACACGAAAGTGAGGATAGTAACCAAACCATATATATATAATTTTTTATATATATACATACCTTTGATAAGGTTTAGTGTATACATTAGGTACAATAAAAAGTTAACAATAAGTAATAAATTATAACAATTTCATGGATGGAAGATTCATTTTTACTACAGATATTAGCAATCAGCATATGATTTTTTTTTTTAAGTTAAGTTGGAAACTTCACCTTTTTGTTTAAGGAAAGCACTTTATGGCTTCTCTTTGGCATATTCAAATTGCCAGCATCATTACGCTTGCACTTGGAGCAATTAGTAAGTAAAAAAGGGTTTCTTGAACACAAGCACTGTGACAGTGGATCTGAAAACTGAGAAGACTACTAAGTGACTAACAGGCAGATAGTGTAGACAACACAGATATACTGGGCAAAGGGATGATTCACCTACCAGTGGGGTTACACAGAACAGCGTGCAATTTGAAATTTACCAATTGATTTTTCTGGAATATTCCATTTAGTATTTTTAGACCACAGTCGACCACGGATAACTGAAACAGGAAAGCGAAACCGTGGGGACGGGGGATTACTTTGTTACTGGTAACAAGAAGACCAAACATTTACAACACTTTTACTACCAAAAGATGTTGGCATCTATTGTTAAATCATATTCTCTTAGCAAATTTGTGAAATAAGAATATGTAACCTAAAATCAATTTTTAGGCAGAAATTGAGACATTAAGGGCAGACTGTAACCAGCAGAAAACCTATATTGAAAATTCTAGTCTTTCAGATTTTTTCAGAAAATTTTATAGGTATATATTAATTTCTCATTCTTATACATTAAATGTATTTACTGGCTTATAGTAGATTAAGCATTGTAAAGACTTTCATTTTAATGAATCATGCAATTCCTGGACATAATAAAATACTTTTCTTGAATTAAAAACCTTTGTAATATGCTAGCTAGTGCTTAGAACAAACTAAATACTATGACGTGATCTGAAAGTTCAAGAGATAGCAGAAGTCAAATCCCAGACCCCAAAGCAAACTTTTGTATCAACATGCAATACTAAACATGTAGTATCTTTCCTAATGAATAGTAGACTCTTAAAATCTGTGCTTATGATTTTAAGAGGTTCCATACATTTTTTACCTCTAACATTTTTAATGACTCAACATAGCAGAATATTTCTGTACTGTAAGTAAATATATCTTTCCAAATATTCTTGTGTGTGGGTGAGTGAGTGTGTGGTTACAGTTTGCTGATTTACCCCAACATGTACAGGAAGGATTACTGAACCTAGCTGCATCACAGTACACATACTCAGAGTGCCCTAATCAAGATTGTTTGAATTTGAAGGCAAAAAGAATGGGCTCAGTGGTTCTGAAGCAGAAATTTTAGTGAATACAAAAATGTGGGAAGGCCAGGCCTAGTATCTTACGCCTGTAATTCCAGCACTTTGGGAGGTGAGGGCAGAAGAATTGCTTGAGCCCAGGAGTTTAAGACCAGCCTGGACAATATAATGAAACCCATCTCTATAAAAAAATTTAAAAATTAGCTGAGTATGGTGGTGTATACCTGTAGTTCCAGCTACTCGGGAGGCTGAAGTGGATCACTTAAGCCCAGAAGGTGGAGGTTGGAGGGAGCCAAGAACCCACCACTGCACCATTGCTAATGTTGAAAAAGGAAATGTTTCCAACATGTATATCCAGGAAAACTCCCTTGTGTATTTGGAGTTCCATGCACGGGGCAGTCTCAGGCACTGTGTTGGTGGAGATGTAGCTGCTGTTTCTCTTACTTACAGTCCAAATTCCAAGTTCTATAAACAGTTGTACCCTTTCTTGTTAGCAAAGAGATTTTTTTTTTTTTTTTGCAGTTGTCCGCATGTCATTCTTTGCATGTTTCCAACCGCCTCCCAGTTGTAGTGACCAGCTGAACCAAGGTGAGCCCAGTGCACCAACTAATCTTTTGGTGCATTCTTTCAGCTTGTGTTTGATACTTCCACATTGGGCATTCTCAGATCATCAGAAATGATGACATGATTACTGTGTCACTATCCCATGTCATATCCAGTTTTGTGATTTATTATAAAAGATATACAGCTCAGGAACTGTATAAAAGATATACATCCAGGAACTGCCTGCATGAGATGGATAGGGCAAGGTATGGAAAGTGGTAGTGCACAAAGCTTCCATACTCTCTCAGGGTGCACCACCCTCCCAGCACCTCAATGTGTTCACTGACACAAAAGCACCATCTTCTAGTTTTACACTCATTATTAGACCGTAGAAGAACATCCAATTTGGCTTCCTGTTGGAAAATGAAATCTATACCAAAAACAATAAAAGTAGATAATTAGATTCTGACCATCTTAAACAATAGCTTTGAGGTGACTTACAGTCAAAACGCAGATATAGAATAGTTTAATAAAAGTAAAAGAATTATAATTTTATTTCAATTTGTTATAGATACATCAATCTTAAATATTTATAGCTGTACAACTATAAAAATAGTTGGAAAGTTGCCACATAATGAAGACACTTTTCAAAATAGATTGCTTCACTTTAGACATTTCACATTACACATTTCTGATAAAGTCAATACATCATTCTAGCTAACTACAGGATTCTGAGATCCTTAAACAGGAGGAATTTTGACAATGAGGAAAGGGAGAATGATTGTTACATTTTGTCTTCTGCTGGAAAAATGTAACCTAATCCTCATGTGTTTTGCATTAAAGTGTTTCTCAAAAACTATGAGAAGTGAGAAAGACTGACACAGATTAAATAAATGTGCTTATCCCAAAAGGCTTATTCTGCTGGCACAGTGACCTTCATAAGTCATCTGTCCCAATACCTGATTAATCATTTTTCCTCATAAGTCAGTGTTTTCCTTTGATAATATATCTTCTATCATCCTTAGCCTCACTTAATATTTACTGTTAAGAATAATTATTTTTCCTCAGCCAGGCATGATGGTTCACACCTATAATCCCAGCACTTAAGGAGGCAGAGGCAGGAGGATCATTTGAGGCCAGAAATTTGAGACAAGCCTGAGCAACACAGTGAGACTCTGTCTCGACAAAACATTTTTTTTCACTTTTTTAAAAGAATATATTTTCTGCCTAACATTATTATATTATACCAAGTTAAATGTTCATGTCTTTGTTTTCAAAAAAAATAAAAGTTTTAAGGTCTATTAAAAGAACATATATGACTCCATTATTAAAACAAATTTTTGTTTTTGCATGTTTGTTTGTTTGTTTTTAAATAGAGACAGGGTTTCTCCATGTTGGCCAGGTTGATCTTGAACTCCTGACCTCAGGTGATCCACCCACCTCGGCCTCCCAAAGTGCTGGGATTACAAGCATGAGCCACTGCACCTGGCCTTTTGTTTTTGTTTTTTGAGATGGAGTCTCGCACTGTCACCCAGGCTGTAGTGCAGTGGTTCAATATCGGCTTACTGCAATCTCTGCCTCCTGGGTTCAAGCAATTCTCCTGCCTCAGCCTCCCGAGTAGCTGGGACTACAGGCGTGCGCCACCACACCCAGCTAATTTTTTTGTATTTTTAATAGAGACAGGGTTTCACCATGTTGGCCAGGATGATCTTGATCTCCTGACCTCGTGATCCACCTGCCTCAGCCTCCTAAAGTGCTGGGATTACAAGTGTGAGCCACCACACCCGGCCAATAGATATTTTTAAAATATCAGTGATATTTAAATCCTCTGTTAAAACTGCTCAATGTCATCACCATAACTTGTAAAAATTCATATATACCTAAAAAAATTAATCTGATCTAATAATTCAAAATATCAAGATACTCACAAATATTCTTAATAGGAAATATGACTCATCTGACATGAAATAAAATTCTGTGATAGAGTTTTGACTATGCCTTTAAAAAAGACTGCAGGATATAGGCCCCTTCACCACCAAGAGAGGCGCTTTTGTCTTTACCCAACAAATGGGTTGAGGGATACGGGAGTTCTGCACCTTGTCCTCGCGCCTCATGACAGGGTAGCTTTCTCTCTAGAGAAATATTTGTCCTAGAGTAGGATTACAGACACATTTCTGGTTATGTTCTCACCCTCCCTCTTCTTTATAGCCTGGTGTTTCCTTCTTGCAGACAAACTACCACCTTGCTCTTGTTAACATTTATATAAAACTTTAGCAGTGTATAAAATAAGAACTAATTCTTATTGGGCACTTGCAATGTGCCTGTGCTATTCTAAAGTGCTTTACATGTAATTCAGTAAATCTTTATGACAACACTATATGTTAGCTTCTATGATTACTCTTACTTTGCAGAAAAGACTACTGATGCACGGAAAGATTAGGTCACAGCCCGGGGCTTACGACTTTTACAAGGTTTCAAAAACAGGCAGAATGACTTTATGGCTCATGCTTTTAACCATACCATACAGGCTCTTTGAAAATATGTAATAAATGAAATGATAGCTACAGTCTGAAATAATAAGGTAGCTCCTGCTGTACCCTCCATCTGTTTATCTTAGATGAGTGTGCTGCCACAGCTCAGGGAACTCTACTGTAATAAGTGGGATTATGTTTAATTTCTGATTAACAGGTATTTTACAATTTTTTTTATTTTTTTTAGGTTTTCACTATTTATGACAAACATTCCATAGCCATGATTCTCTCCAGTCAACATTTTTATCAGGTGATGCCACTGGCCTTGGCCAATCAGAGAATGGAGTCATCTGACTCACCCACCCTGCGAATGACTTCGCAGATAGCATAGGTTTTAAACTGGCCGTTAAACCTGCCTGTGACCTTGTCCACCTCCACCACGTTCATCTGGTTGGATGCATGGTCCTTGGCACCAGTGATGCGGTTACTAGCAGAGCCTTTCCACCACATGTACAAGTCCACAAGCTCGCTGTCATTCTGCATCTAAAGACTGCGCCTGCTGCCACCACACTGCTCAAGAGCAGAGAAAAGAAAACAACTGAATATCTGTAAAATTTAACAAATATTTGCTAAATATCTAAAATGGGTAAAGCACTGTGGATTGGGGCAGCTAGGAGCAGATGAATAAGTTGAATAAAACAAGTCGTGGCTTCAGAGTTCACATACTTTTGAAGGGGATACAAGCATGTACCATATAATAGAGATGGAGACAGATTGAGAGTGGAGATAAGGCTGACTGTAAGTGTTATACAAAATGATGAGCTCTAAGGTTGTATTATTATGGTACGTTGCCTTCAAGTCTCCTCCTGCCAGTATGGTTGATGCTGTGATCTTATAGACTTCTGGAGACAGAAAAGCAGCTCTTGTCAGTTTGGAAGCAAATAATCCTCCTGGAAACATTTCGAATTCTGTCCCAATGTGTTGAACTGTTACTGAAGCTCTATACATCTGTGACACACATATACACATGCAAAAAGGTCAAGTTACTGTAGAGAGACAGAGAGGAAAAAAGGATTAAAGTTAAATTCAGCTTTTGCATCAATCCTTTATAAAATTTACATCTTGTTTTACCCAGACTTTTATCAAATGTGGTAGACTTTTAACTGAACATGAACAGTGTGCCAAGTAGTGTGTGAACTGATTCACAATAAGAACCCATACAGCATGATAAAAATTACGGAATTTCAGAGGTGGAAAATGATATAATCAAATGGAGGAACTGAAAGGAAGCAAAAATGAAACATTGACTGAGCACATAGTATGTCTCAGACATTATGGTTAGCACTCTCTGTATGTTACCTCTTTAATCCTCTAACAAGTGAAGTAGACATTATTACCCCTGCCTTGCAGCTGTCTACTCCAGCCAGCCCTGAAACACTTTCATTTCTTACCAACCTGTTTCAGGCCCTAATGCTCCCTCAAGTTAGAATGTCTTGTTCTTTCTCATGATCACCTGATTCAGTGAGTGACTATGTGGATCTCCAGGGTTTTCTTGACCTCTGCCACCTGCCAATCCAGGGTTAGAATGCATCAGGTTCTAATTTTTACCCCACGCTACACTTTACAGACCTGCAGAACTACATCTATTGCTTAACTATAGGGGCTTCCTTACATATCTGTCTGCCTCTACTGAACTATAAGAGCTTTGAGGAAAGAGAACATGCCACAATATTGCCTTAAAACCCAGTGTTAAGCAGCATGTTTGACATACTAGGTGTTAAATAAATAAATGAATGACTTAGCCAAAATCTAGTAAGTACTAGAGCGGAGGGGTTGAGATTAGGGTGAAATCTCAGGTCTGTCTGAAACACCAAGTTTCTTAGCCTATCTGCACCTAAGTTTTGATTGTTTTTAAAAAAGGAAGAATCTGGTTTTTGTTTCCAGTGGTGGCATTGTGGTTTTCTAAGGGGGCTTGGAGATGGTGTACTCTACAAGTATCAAATAATAATCTATAATTAATGCCAGTCATAGCTCTGGACAACATCATAGATAATCAAGAAATATCAGTTCCCCTCTTCTTTCTCTGTATCATCTTGTTCAAACTTATACTTGAAGTGACAGAGCAAGGACCCAAACTACTCTACCAGGCTACCATTTCATCACAGGTGCCTCACAGAAATAAACTATTCTTTCTTATTTTTGGTGAGTTTTAGCTTTCTTAGCATTTATCATTTCCTTTCATTTTCTCCTATTTTGGTAAACTTAAAATTGCAATTTTAGTTGAAAACAATATAGGCAGACTTGGGGCAGCAAAGAGCCTTTGCCCTGTCTAAAAGCTTCCGAAGGGCATGAACCATGGCTTTTCCACCTGTTTCTGTGTCTGTCTCCCAGTAAATGCTTAATAAACACTTGCGGACTGAAGTGCATTGGCCAACATTAAGCCTGGATCATTTCCTGGAACTTTGATGATACTTTTAAGAGAAAAAATGCCGGTAGTTAAGAAAAAAAAAAAAAACAGGAAATGGGGAACTGTTCAGTGTATAGGACTATATAAGAAAGGATATTCTGGCCGAGTGTGGTGGCTCACGCCTATAATCCCAGCACTTTGGGAGGCTGAGGCGGCAGGATCACCTGAGGTCAGAAGTTCAAGACCAGCCTGGCCAATGTGGTGAAACCCCATTTCTACTAAAAATACAAAAAATTAGCTGGGTGTGGTGGTGGGCTTCTGTAATCGAAGCTACTCAGGAGGCTAAGGCGGGAGAATTGTTTGAACCCTGGAGGGGAAGGTTGCAGTAAGCTGAGATTACACCATTGCACTCCAGCCTGGGCAACAAGAGCAAAATTCCATCTCAAAAAAAATTTAAAAAAGGAAAAGAAAGGATATTCTGATTCTGGAGTGAAAAGCTTATGCAAAAAGGTAAAATCAGGACAGCATGATCAAGAGAATGCTATAAGTAAAATCATCAACAAGATAAAGATAGGTGAGAAACTCTGAAACTTGACAGTTGTAAATTTGAAAGCAAAGCTTGGGGCTATAAAAAAGCCTGGTCCCCACTACTGCAAACACACGAATCTGCTTTAGGATGATGATTAATTTTCCCCTGGCTAAAATATCTCACCCTTTTCACTCTTTGTTCTTGCTGTTTCCCTAAACTTGAACACTGTCTTTTCCTCCTCACCATCCACTTTAGGCATTTACAGCATTCCTAATTTGCTTTACCTTCTTCACGTTTTTTCCCAGATTCCTCACTCCATAACAATACAACGATTCTCAGAATTGCCATAGCACTTTTGTCTGCATACAAAGCCTAGCATGGTCTGTTCTTTAGTTGGTACTATGCATAGTCTTAACTATGAAACAAAATATGCAAGGTAATCCCATTGCATGTGTAGTCCAATACTAGGCATATTACAGGTGCTAAATACTTAAGTGCCTGGATAGTAAATGCCACTTTGAATTGATATTTCAAGATGTGTGGGGTTTTTAAATTGCATTTCGGATTAACAGGAATAAAAGGAATTAAAGACAAATACTTTGAAGGGGGAGTTAACAATGGAACAGAGTCTAGATAAGCAGAGATAAATTTCACTGCATTGGTGTTTAAAGGTAAAAAAAATAATTTCCTGTTCTAGATTTTTCCTTGAAAAAAATCTCTATGAGGTATGACCTGATATTACCTAAAAACAACTTTCATTATTTGTTTTCATCTTGATGAAGATCATATATCACCTTAGTGTATATTACAAGTTAAAATGGAAACTTCTTAAATTATATTACTTGCAAATTGCTTTTTATTGAACATTTTCAATTATGCTATTTGCATATTTCTCTAAAAATAATATTTAAGGGAGTCACTCTTAAAAGGATAAGTACATCCCAACACTTTGGGCAGCCAAGGCGGGTGGATAACCTGAGGTCAGGAGATCGAGACCATCCTGGCTAACAAAGTGAAACCCTGTCTCTACTAAAAATACAAAAAATTAGTCAGGGGTGGTGGCACGCACCTGTAGTCCCACCTACTTAGGAGCCTGAGGCAGAAGAATCGCTTGAACCCAGGATGTAGAGGTTGCAGTGAGCCAAGATCATGCCACTACACTCCAGCCTGGGCGACAGAGCACTACTTCGTCTCAAAAAACAAAAAGGGATAAGTACAGTAGTTCCCCCTTATAGGTGGTCTTACTTTCTGAGGTTTAATTTACCCAGGGTCAATCTCAGGCCAAAAATATTAAATGGAAAATTTCATAAATAAACAATTCATAAGTTTTAAGTTGCACACAGTTCCAAGTGGCCTGATGAAATCTCATGTGATCCCACACCACTGTGAATCATCCCTTTGTCCAACATATCCATGCTGTATATGCTACCTACCCACTAGTCACTTGGCAGGCTTTTTGGTTATCAAATTGAAAAAGACATAGTATATAATAGGGTTTGGTACTATCCTTGGTTTCAGGTATCCTCTGGGGGTCCTGGAACATATCCTCTGAGGATCAGGAGGGGACTACTATATACTTTTTAAAAGCCTTTATTTTTTCATACTTCAACATAACACCTGATTTCTCTTCTTTCTGTTAGTGGACCTACTTACACTGAAAGATAACATTTTTTTCCATTTACTGTGACAACACCCAACTAATGTTTACTGATAAACTAGCAGCAGTAAGTCAGAGCATCTACAAAATGCAAGGGGAATTTGCACTCCTGAGTTAACTTTAATTCAAAAGTGAAATTGTATAGCTGAAAGAAACTCATATAATGTAAATGTTTTATAAAAATTCTTGTCACTTTTATACAAATAAAATATTCTCTGTTGAGTCCCCATGCCATATCCATATTATAAACAACCATGTTTGTAATTTCTAAACTTACAAACTTTGTTTTCTTTTTTAGAGACGGGGTCTCATTGTGTAACCCAATAGGAGTGCACTGGTGCAATCATAGCTCATTGCAGCCTTAAATTTCTGGCCTCAAGCAATCCTCCTACGTCAGCCTCCTAAGTAGCTGGAATTACAGGTGTGTGCCACCATGCCCAGCTAATCTTTCTAATTTTTTTGTGGAGATGAAGGTCTTGCTGTGTTGTCCAGGCTGTTCTCAAACTCCTGTCCTCAAGCAATCCTAACACCTCAGCCTCCCAAACTGTTGGGAGTACAAATATGAGCCACTGTGCCCAGCCAAACTTACAAACTTAATATAGATATATGTATGTCTCTGTGTATGAGTATATTTAGGCAGCATTGCATTAAAATGCCCATTCTGTATTCACTAACACCAAATTCAAATTTGACGTGCATATGTGAACACACTGAGTCATTGAAAATATGCCTAACAATACATTTAAATCAAAATAATTATTATGAGAAAAATTAATGTCAATATTTTGTATGAAAGAGAATTAATCATAGACTTGACTAGCTTAAACTTTGAACTTTCTCATAATACGTGATAACAAACAGGTGATAAAAACATTTAAAAATTAGGTCAAACAACTAAAAGTGTTTCAAATAATTTTACATAACAATTTTTATTTTTGTTGAATTTATCACTTGTTTTGATAACATTGACACACAACCTCAAAGACAAAGAGTAACTAGGGCCAACTACTTGGCTGGCCCTTTGTACATAATTAAATTAATTAAACAGGTACTTAATGCAGGCCTACACACACACATGCACACACATACACACAAACACACACACACACACAGCATTGTACTAGTCACAGTAGGAAAATAGAAATAAGACATAGCCAAACTCTTTGCCAGACATTGAGTCTAGTAGTTACAGGCATGATCTCTTATATTCATTGTTATTCTGTACTTTTCTTAGGTCTATTCTGCCT